TGGGATTTGTCAATGTGCACGTCACGAGTACTTAATTGTCCTCTCCAAACATTTACAGGCCATCTGAATGTGAAGGTATTTGTGCCGTTTTGTTCACTCAAGACTCTCTTTAAATTTTATGTTGTTAATTCTGTCCTTGATTTGATATTTTAACGTGCATATACAGTAACGCAAAATAATTCAGTTATTTGAACAAACTTAAGTATCATTATTCAGTTATTTTAGTGTGATCGTTACCTCTTATTTACCTAAGAAAATATAATCATGTTTGGCATCTCACAGTAGACATCATTTTCTTTCAGAATTTCGTTGGTTTATCTGTGTGTGAAGGTTATATCGCCACTGGCTCGGAGACAAATGAGGTAACTCATGCTCATGCATCGTACAAACTTTTATGTGTTACTGTCTAGATTTTTCTGGTAGAAAAACATCTTGTAGAAAAAGTCTGTCTGTAGACAAACATTGTCTGGAGTATGATATTGACACTAAGGGCCTTCTCACATCTTCTTAGGAAGAAACTTTCACTTTGACCTTGCTAAACTAATTGGCCAGTTTACCTCCTTAACTTGAGTTCACCATATTATGAGGTGAAAATTTCTATGAAGTAGGCAAGTGAGATCTGGGGGGTATGTTAAATCTTTTTGTGCAGAAGCCTGAAATCAGGTTTTTAGGCAAAATAGAGAGAACAAACACACAAAATTTACATGGTTCGGAACTTGGCTCCTCAGGTAGGAGACAAGAAGAACTTCACTAAACAAAGGGGAGAATATGAATGAGTGCCAAGTATATAATTCTAAATACCCAGGTATTGACCTAAGGACTCAAACCAAATTGCCAACTGAACGTATGTACCTAGTTGAGATTACCAAGGGCTCCATAAGTCCTTCTCCAAGATAGTACATGTCTATCTCATGAACTGGGGAAGATCCAAATAACAAAGGAGGCTCCTATACGTAGTGGAACAGATGGATATGCTAACTATCCCTATTTTGATATCGGATATGAAAAAATTCCTATCCTATGTATGACAAACAAAGCCATATTCTGCGTGATCCAATCCCTATTATATATGAGATTTATTCTAAAGTGATAATTTAACAAATCTCCACCTTCAATTTGAATTGTCCAAGCCTTTAAATAGGAGTTCTTCACGCATTTCCCCTGAAGTGAATCTTCCACTGTCTTCTCCAATGTTTCCTTTGAAATTTCCCATCTTCATCTTGCTCGTACTAGTCCACCTTTCTCTAATACTACTTGTTGTGCAGAAGCCCCAATTAGGGGTTTTAGGTAAAATATAACAAACTCAGGGATATTTGCATGGTTCGACACTTGACCTTTGTTGACGTAAAAAATTCTAGGAGTGGGCACGGTCCGGTTCGGTCCGGTTATAAAAGGAATCGAACCGAACTGAACTGAATACCAACAAGAATTTTAGAAATGGAACCATTGGTTCCATTGTTAGCTATGGAATCGAACCAATCGGTTCCGGTTCGGTTCGTTCCGGTCCGTTTCTTTACATAAAGATGTCAAAATATTACTAATAAGAAATCTAAA